GGGGTTCTGAAAAGATAAAACTGTTGTTTTCCCCCTAGAAGGGGGGGGGGGGGGGGGGGGGGGCGAGGCTAGTTCCCACGAGGGGGGGGCTAGTGGATGGTTGTGTGCCCACATCGTCCAGACCGAAGCGCCAACAGCCCATCGACGGTACACACAAAATACGTGTGTGTGTGGGGGGGGAGAGATGGATTTGGTATGTAAGTTGGGCTCTTTAGCAACTACGATATGCATGCTACAGCGGTGACGACGCGGTGCCTTACGCTACATTATCGTCGCCGGGGTCCGAGTAGCGGAAGCATGCCTTGTCTGCCTATCTTCTGCACAATGTCCAAGAGAAGATGACATCCGTCTCGCGCTATGTATGCATACGTACATCTGGCGCAACACAAACCTCTTTTGACTCTTGTTGAGAGGAATCCAGAATATCTTCAGTACTCCCGAGTAGAAGTGCAAGACAAGGCATTTGCGATGCGCAACAAAAGCAGTGTCATGTGGCGGAACTTCTTCACTCGCAAGCTCTGGCGAGGGCTCTCACTTTTGATCGTTTCGGGTGGAAAAAGCGCGACAGCAAAAGGACGGCAGCTCACCTACTTGTCGGAAACCGGCGCGGCCAAGGTCGACGGCATCCTTCCCCGTGGGCATCTCGGGCTCCTCCTGTTCGAACCACAACACACCACAACGAGAAATCCGAACGAAACTGAGACGCGCCCGAAACATTTTCAAGCATTGTATGCATAGCTTTAATGAGCCGCACACCCAAACCTGTCGCGGGAGACAGGTATGGGCACCATCCAGGCAGCAGCTGCATCATTGGATGGATTGTAGTATAATAGGGGTGGTGTGTAATGCGCTGGGACACGTGGAGCCCCGAGTAGCAAGACATGTGTTCGGCCGCTGATTGGTCCACTTTCTTGAAAAACACAAACAAAAAATCGACACATCCCTCAGCGCGGAGATCAACTAGGCCGTCTCGATCTGGTGAAGCTGCTGCTGACTACGTACCCTCGGGCCCGACATGCTGGAAGAGAGCGGGACTGATAAAGGGCGCAATTTCCCGCAAGCAGGAGACTACTTGTAGCCTTACCGGTTCAACCAGCCCTTCCCACATAATGCGCGAAATGTATATTCTAGTGAGAGGCGTACCATCCAGGTGGTGGGCACATCCATCTTGCAAGGGTGTGCCAGAGGTTCAAGCGCGCTACGATAAGCACAACGAGCAACACCAGCAGCTGTGTGTGATGTAACCTAACGCGAGAGCTCGGTTGCTTGACCGCCGTGTCTGGTTGAATTCGGAAAGGTGACCCTTGGATCATACAACCGCTACACACAACCACGGCGGCAGCGCACTCACCAACCCGCGCGCATGGACAACAAGCAACAACAACCAGAACAGCCATATATCAATACTACCTCTCTCTCTCTTTCTCTCTCACGCGCACTCTTCTTCTCTCACATCCTTCTTCTTGCCCCCGCCCCAAGCGTCTGCCCTGCAGCTGAAGCCCAGCAACGTCGCCACCACACCGATAAACATGAGCCTGACCATCTTTTCTTGTCAAAGACTGGACGACCGCGCAGCGAATCAAAGCGACGGGCGCAGCGAAGAGATGCTGGAAAGCAGTTGATCTGGTTCTATGTGCGGGATCGTGAAGAAGGCAGCGGTGAAGCAGCTAGAGTAGCACTTGTGGGAGAGCAGAGGCAGGGTCCGGAGAGCCGGCGGAGAGCGTTGTAGGGGGTGCGCGGTCAGGATGTGATACACATGTGCATTTTTTGAAGACCAAGCAGCGGTGCCCCTAGCTAAAACGCATCATTCGTTTGCCTTGTTGGACGGGCACCAAACACAGGCATTACTAGGGAGGAGGGAGCGTCGAACGGGGCAGCTCGTGCTCTCTACGCAACGAAACAGTCGGCAATCATGTTCTCCCGTGCAGCAATGGAGGCGGCTCGGGTTGCACGGTCCGTCCCGTTGGTGAGGAGAAGCGAAAACGAATGACGGCAGTGTGTGTGCGCAGGCAGCAGCTGCTGCTGTAGTAAGAGAGGCACGGAGAAGGCATGGTCGCCATGATTGCCGTGGCAAGCGAGACGGCGCAAACGTGGGACCACAGCAGTACCACTGCCTCTACCTCGTTGTACGTCTTGTCTCGAGCCATGCGAAGACATGTTTGCGAGCCGCATCGGCTAGTCTAAGTCTGAGTGGTGTGTTCGCCTCCGACTTTTGGTATTTTTTTTTGTGCGTGCACAAGAAGCAACCAGCTCAGACGGTCGGGACCCTTTAGCGAGGTTGCTCTTTGCTCTCAGTGGTGCCCCACGATGCGATTCCGACGAGCTGATCGCGTGGTGTGAAAGCATGGAGATCGCTTTGCCCGTGGCCTCCTCTGTGCTAGGTCTGGGTAGCAATGCGTTCGTGCAAATAGATGCCCTGCTGCTGCTGCATTTGCTGCTTTTCTCGTGAAGAGCAACGATAGCTCACTCAGCAGCAGTTATAGACTTCGCAACGAACGCCCTTTGTGCCCGATCTGCACGCACAGGGCGCTGCTTTCAAAACGATGGCAGTGTAGACTACTGCTGCAGTTTGTCAGCGTGAGCAACGGAGTCGGCTTTTTTTGTTGTTGTGGGATTGCGTTGGGGTGCCAGAATCTGCGAACAGGGGAGCGTGGTTCTGTGCGGAGCTGTTGGTTAGACCGCTTCACAAATCAGGCAATGATATTATGATATTTAGTGCTGTCATTGATGCCACACGTCGGGGAAAGCGTTTACTACTGCTGTAGACTACAGTACATGTCGCATGTGCCAATGGGGGCTCCTGAGTGTGGTGTCCGAGAATCGAGCACTGATGTGGCGGTGTCGATGTTGCTGCTTCCCCGTAGTGGAGGTGGACAGCACCAGGATGTTGTCGGAATATCTCGTCTCTGACGTGGGGATAGCGCAGTCTGTGCCCAGCTTGGATGGGAAGACGCGCGGCTACAGTACCTCCGTGTGTTTTGTATGCTCAAAGTTTAGCGTGCGAACCAGCGCAGTCTCGCTGCTACTTTGTGTGTGTTGCTATCTTGTATTTTGTCCCTATGCGTGTGGGGAAATAGCGCAGTCCGTGTTTTGAATCGACTGGAGATAGTAGCGCTGCTCTGCTGTGTGTTGGTAATTGTCCCGCGTTTACATTCAGCATGTTTGCGCCTCCCTCACCACCGTACGGTGACCAAACCTGTCTCGACTCGACCAGACCAAGAAACCGACCCTTTCAGCAAAAGCTCAGTTCCGGATGAATACTGGACAACGCCCACGAAACAGCAACAAAAACATCAGCAGCAGCAACAGCAACTGTTTGTCGCGGTCTTCCAACTGCAGACATTGTTGATGGTTGTCGTTGTTGATGCCGCTGCTGTTTTGTCAACTTTTTGGTCTTGCCTTGCTCACCGCCAGGCAGCGGCAGCGAGCTTGCCGTGTCTATCTCGGCACCCTTGATGCCTCGCACCCCGAAAAAGTTGCTTGAAAAGGCCAGCCATAAGCTGCTTCCCCCGACCGTCGCTCTTTCTTGCCCCTCCCTGACCTCTCGCTTTTGCTGGTGCGCCCAGAGAGCTCGCGTGGCTGCGGCGGCCAGCGCAGCGGCAGGGGCCGCGGCGGTGGGAGGCGCGACGGTGCTCTGCGACGATGCCGTGCACACGGTGGAGTACGACTGGCCGCACTCGGGGTTCCTGCAGACCTTCGACCACGCAGCGTGAGTTGTTGTTGTCGTTGTCCTTTGGGAACGTGGACAGGGAGGGGCAATCGGCTGAAGCATTCCCGCCGCTGCTGCTCTTGTTATTTCATCCATACCTGGTGTTGTATCATGCAGTGTCATGCCTGGATTGATGTCATTCTAGTCATGTCATCTCAAGGGTTGCCAACCATTTTCACCCGCGACTAATTATTTGCCTTGGCTTCTCCAAAATGGGATTGGGCCACGCTGTGCTCTCTCTTGTCTAATGTTACGCCAGTTTGCAACTGCGCGCAATAACATTCTGCTACGACTAGACACCCCTTTTCTCATTTTGAGGTTTTCGGCGGGCGGGGGGGGGGGGGGCACCGTACTCTCATGTACGGAGCATACTGGAGTAAAAGCATAGGGGGCCCACGTTGGAAACCAGGTTTGTGTCGGGATACCCCTATGTGCCATCTAGGATCCTCTCTTGACATCTCCCAAGCCATGCTCACATAGCACGGGTGCGTAGCACAACCGAGATAGTACCTATCTCGTGAAACGTCGTCACTAGCACCACACGACGTGTATTCGACTACGACTTGCTTGAATTGAGCTGGCTCCAAACCCCAAGAAGAGAAAAATGTGCAAAATATTTTTTGTCGGCCCTCCGGCGCCGGGATAAACTCTAGCGAGTGGTGCGGGATGACTTTTGTTCGTGCACCCTCGATTTGAAAAGTGTTTTCTCGCTTGACTCGTACAGGCGGGGTGAATCGTGTCCTCCTTGTCGTAGTCCATCATGTGCTCTTGTCGTCTGGGCTGCTGTCGACGTTGTCCGTCGTTTTGGTTTTGTTTTCATGAACGTGTGTTTGACTCTCTCTCTCGTACGTGATTAGGTAGCATCCACCGCCCTTCCAGGCTTCAACGAAAAGGAGCCAATCTTGAACAACACGTGCCTGACGTTTTTTTTTTTTTACAGAATCCGCCGAGGGTGGCAGGTGTACCGGGAGGTCTGCTCGACCTGCCATTCGATTAAGTTCGTCGCCTTCCGCAACCTCATCGGGGTTTCCCACTCGGAGGCCGAGGTGAGCAGGAGGAGGAGGTTGCTCGCCTTGTTCTTGGACTGCCGTATATGGCGGGTGGGGGTGGGGGTGTACTTTCATGATTTGCATGCCTTTTGAGCGGTTAGACCATTGACCACGCGTCCTCGAGAGGACGAAACATTGTTCCCACAGCGACCGATATCGCAGGAGGTATGTTGCAGGGGGGGGGGTCATGGCTCGGGTCTCTGACGGGAGTGGCCGAGAAGCGTGAGGCGAGTCGTTGGCTTTGTAAAGCAGCGGCACTCGTTGTGGCGCTACACAGAGTACGCGGGCATCTTGTGGCCGCGTTTTTCTGTTGGAAGGAGCGGCTGCACGAACGAAATACGCGACCTTAACGAGTGTGGGCCACCTCAATGGACCATCTCATATTAATCGAAGCCGAAAACTCTGCCCGTGTTACATGCGCGGCTGGGAAGCGGTAGTACTATTATAGAGTAAACAAGGAATGATGATCAACCCTCACACAAGCCGGGTACAATGGATGGATGGTTTTTGAGGGTGGTCCCCTCAACGATGAGCCACCACAAGAAAATATAGATCAGAAACACATTGCCAAATTGCGTACATACCTTGCGCTTGTTTTGACTGTTCGTTGCGAGCCCGCAAGCGGACGGCAGTTCCCGCGCGTGCCTCATGCAAGTTCTCGATTCAATCAACATGCAAAACGTACCACGGATCAACTTCTGTCTCACACTGACTGTTTTTGTTTTTTTCTTCGGTCAACGAAACGGCGGTGTTTGAACTATGTAATTCGCTGCAGGTTAAGAAGATCGCGGCAGAGTTTGAGGTAGAGGACGGGCCCAACGACGAGGGCGAGATGTTCGAGCGCCCCGCCAAGCCTTCCGACCGGTGAGGAGCCGATGTCTCGGGGGACGGGGGGGTGGGGGTGTACTCATGTAAACAACATGCGGGAAGTCGTTTAAGTTGTTGACCTCGCATCCCGACAATGCCGGGACGGAGCGATATGCCGGTTTTCCGCCCGTCCGGGCTTCGTTTCGCAAGGATGTACCAGAAGCTACTTGTCGTCATTCTTGTGTTTGATGTGCCAAGCCAGATATACCCCATGTGTTGATTGGGCATGTCTACAGGGTGTGTGTGTGTGCTCATGGTCGTGCATGCCGTAGTCGTTAGACCATTGACCTCGCATCCCTACAAAGCCGGGACGGAGCACGCCGGGTTCTCACCGGACCAGGCTCTCACATCACCAAGCGCGAAGCGCCGTGAGGTATTCGGCGAGTCGCTTGGAGGGTGCGCTGCATCCTGCTAAGGGTGTTCGGCATCTTGTGCCTACTTCCTTGCGTACGGATGACAGCTGCGTATGACTTAATTTATTTTCTGGTGCTTTCACTTCCAGAGACAGTTAAAGCACTGTGCAACTGCCTCGAGGACGCTTGACCATTTTAACACAACGTGGTGCGATCATCCCCCTTGCGCGGAGTGAGGGTTTTCGACCCCTCGACCACCAATATGGTTACCGCCAAAAAAAAAACAAGGGTAAAAAAAAACGGTAACCTGGTTGCCGAGTTCACGAAGTGAATTGACTCGTTTCACAACGTCGTTGCCAAGCGACGAAAACCCAATCCCGATGGCAAACACCGGGGGGGGCGGCTTGTTTTACAACGTCGTTGCCAAGCGACGAAAACCCAACCCCGATGGCAAACACCGGGGGGGGGGGGCTTGACGCGATTCGCGGCGTCTTGGCCGCATGCTGCTGCTGTTTTGATACGGTACGGGGGGAAGTCTGATGAAGTTTTTCCGACGGCGGTGGCGGGCGGGTCCTAAACGATTTTCGGTGATGGTCAGCGCACAGAAGATGGGCGTGGGACTCAACCGCGAACGGCTTAAACCTAGTGTGGTGAATGTAGTTGGCAGCGTTCGAGCAACGTGTTGCTGCTGTCTTTGATTTCGTGTTCCCGCACGGGCTCCGACGCTCTGATGTCCTTACGGCCGCCGTCTCTTAAACACAGCGCACCCCCCTTCCTTTTTTAAAAATATACATAACAAGCGCAGAGAGACTTGCTGTACCAGTTCGAGATAACACCGCACTCTGTTGTTCGTGCGTCTCCACGCCCATCGTGGACCGCAAAAATAATAAATCAAAGCGTGTGTCCCGCTGTTGTTTTCCCGCAGCATCCCCGGCCCGTACAAGAACGAGGCCTCCGCGCGCGCGGCCAACAACGGGGCCTACCCGCCGGATCTCTCGCTCGTGGTGAAGGGGCGCCACCTGGGGCACCACTACGTGATGTCCCTCCTGACGGGCTACACCGAGGCCCCCGTCGGCAAGGACCTCCTGCCCGGCCTTCACTACAACCCCTACTTCCCCGGTGAGCACACGGGTGTTGCTATAGAGGGATGGCTACTTCCCCGGTGAGCACACGGGTGTTGCTATAGAGGGATGGGGTGCTTGTGGTCATACACCCGGGAGTAGCCCGGAATACCTCGACTTTACTTGAGCGTTGATCGGCTGGCGGTGTTTTGCCCTAGAGGGGGGACGGCGCGGGACGGAGGGGTGGCGGGGAGAGGTTGTGGTCGTGCACGGGGGGTGTTTTTAGCTCGGTATCCATCCGAGCATGGTGCCATCGGGAGGAGAGGCGTGCTTGGAGAGGGAGGAGGGGGTACTTGGAAGACTACGAGCGTGGCGGGAAGGGATTCCGCCCAGGCTCTAGTACATAGGAACTCAGAAAACAGAGAGTTGAGGGCGAACCCGTGTACTGTACCGACTTAAATGGTCTGTACTAAGGGGCGGGGTTCTGTCTGTTGTCTGTCTCTGTTCATTGACGGTCAAACGGTGTACAACTTCCTCGCTTGCTTGGGTGCCGTCTTGTGACGGTACGGTACCTTGCACTGGCCGGAGGCATGACTGAGACATTTTTTGTTCCCATACCATACATTTTTGTTTTTGTTTTTGTTGGGTCTCACCCTCATCCCACATGCCATGTTCTCATCCTCATCACTCATGTGATGTCGTTGTTGTCGTGCCTTGCAGGGACGTCTATCTCCATGCCCCCTCCGCTCATGGACGGTCAGGTCGAGTACCCGGACGGGACACCAGCCACCGTATCCCAGGTGCGCGCAACGTTTCGGTCGGACTTGTGAGCGAGAGAGCGCGTAGTCACCGTGCCGTGACCTAGCGGTTGGAAATGCTGCTGCTGGAATGGTAGTCGCGCGAGAGAACTCGTAGTCACGATGCCGTGGCGAAGCGTCTGGGAAATGTTGCTGCTTGTGCCAAGCACTGTAGTCGGGCGAGAGAACTCGTATTCACGATGCCGTGGCGCAGCGGTTAGGAAATGTTGCTGCTTGTGGTACCAAGAATACTTTGTCTACGGCGCCGCCTTAGATCGTTCGTGAAGTAGAGAGGAAGCGACTAACCCCAGGGATAACGGGAGGTCCAGGGAATACTGGTGCTCACAGAGAAACGGAAAGCCCAGGGACTACCGTAACTCTAGAGGGATGACGGGGAAGGTGGGAGTTTGAGAGATCCACGTACAAAGTTGAGGAGAAGCTAGACAGGCCGCCTCCCGGCGTTGGTATCTACTCGCGGTGGATCCATCTTTGGTTTGGGTAGGCCATGGTGGTGGGACTTCAAATAGACGCCCGGTCATCGGCTCAGCAACGAAGAACAGTTGGCGGACCCGCTCCCCCCCCCTCTAGTGCTCCCTTGCTCTGACGCCCTCCCTCCATCACTCTGCCCCGATTGTGTCCTCAACCGTTTGGTCGGGGTCTTAGCGGGTTAGCGCTTGAAAAATGCCTGACGCCCCTCCCCCTCTCTCGCGCGTTTTCCCTGCCCCGACTGCTGTGTCATGGACCGGTTTATCGGGGTCGTCGTGGCTTTTTGACAGATGTCCAAGGACGTGACCACCTTCCTGGCGTGGTGCGCCGAGCCGGAGATGGACGAGCGCAAGCGCATGGGCATGAAGTGGTGCTCGGCCATGTTCCTCGGCCTGGCCCTGTCCATGTACTACAAGCGCTTCCGGTGGTCGCCGCTCAAGACCCGCAAGATCACCTACCACGACATCAACCGCTAACGACGACTGCGGTAGTTTTGACCTAGGCCAACGCATTCCCGTCAATAGAAGTGCGGTTTGTTTTCGCTGCCGCCCCTGGGGGATATGATGTTGCGGGTTTGAGTTCGGTTTTTCTTGTGGTAATCACACACGCGGCGCTCCGCGGGCTGGAATCACACCACCACCTGCTGGTTACGCACGCACACATGGCTTTAGCGGGCCCATGGTGGGCCAGGGGGAAAGGGGAAGACAGGGGAAACGTGACGCGCAGAAGAGACATGTTGTGTTGCTTTTGGCGAAGACCTCTTGAGCAGCGTCCTTGGTCGTTCGCGCTCATGAGGCTCATGACGGGGGTGACGTTGGGAAGATGTCCACCGGGTGGTAGTCTATCATTCGCCTCAAGATTAAGGTAGCTATTCTGGCCGTGGGGTTTGAGGTGGTCGAGAGCTGCAGTCAAAAACGTCCATTTTGTTTGCTCGACGGGAGTGCTGCCCCTCCGTTTGTTTGAAGGGTTTGTCCCCAAACAAGGAGACGACAGCGATCGATGATCGATCGGAGGAACGGGACGGGAGGGGCAGAGGGGAGGGGGTTGAAGAGGTCTGGATAAGGTCGTGTGGCGTGAGCTGCAGCGGTGGGTGAGCTATTATACAGCACCTCGCTTCAGTTGCGGGAAGGCGGGTTCGACATCATCAAATAGAAAATAGTTTTTTCTAGCCACTATGTTCGTTCGTGTGACGCCGGACGATGCGCGTCAGAAATCTGCACCGAAAGGAGTGTAAAGACCGGCACCAGCGCGCACACACGCGTGCGCCTTGGTTCCTTGTGCGCAATTTTGCCACCGGGCAGTGCGGTGCAATATTGGCCGTCAATCCTTGGTTGAAACGCCCAGCCAGAGAGCGTAACTGCCGTGTTTTCGATCCATAGCAGCAGTTCGTGCCGAAGTGAACTTGCTGTGGACTACGGACCGACTGCTTCTTTCGAGATCGACTGTTTGGCGCCGACTGAATAGGCGACGCCTTTGCACAAGGCCAGAGGGTGTAATAACGGCCACCTTTGCTCCTCGGCGGAGAACACCGAGAAAAGGCGCATTTAGCCGTGTTGGGACATATACCCACGGGTCGAACGCAAGCTGAGAAGGTTGCCCCGAAGCGTTGCTACTGGCTTGGAAAACGGTACGGGGGCTCGTGTCGTGTTCTACAAGCAAGAACATGGTTCATTTTTTCTTTTTTTTTATGCCGTGTCGTGTGTGTGAAGCGGGGCATGTCGTACAAGCATCGGCTTCAGCCTTTCGCCGCAACTCTCCGCGCGAAGACATGCGCAACTCTGAGCCCGCTCTGAATACACGCCACTCTCGACGAAGCTCGTCTACCGCGACGGAACATTTGCTCTGACGACCGGTTTAAACATGCACACCGTGCAAAACAAGACAAAGACTAGACCCAACCTCTGCAAAATACCAACGAAATCTCGACTATTATGTACCCTACCCTCCCTTCGTCTAGCTAACAACACAGAAATTAAGGAACTTTACAAAAATGAACAACGCCGTGGTGTTGCGTATCAAGCAGCCCTACAGCTGCTGTCGATGGCACCAGAACAAGGGCTGCTGTGGTGGATACCACTACCACAGCACCAGCAGGCTGGCCAACGTCATCCTTTCCGATGCCCCCGCCCCAACAGACATGAACTTTTTTGTCCAAAATAAACAACACACGAGAGAGACGTAAAAAACAAACTGATGTGTCTACACAGGTCTACTCGTCAGCCTCGTCGATCTTGGGTGCGAGGTAGTATCGTACGTAGCCGAAGGTGTCGATGGGGTACTCCACTACTACCGGGTTGTCTGGTGTCATGGAGATGGTCACCGTGGGGCCCAACGGGGTTGCTTTCGCGAAGAGCGACAAGTACCGAAGCGCGAACTTGAGAGTGACGGGCTCCTCCATCGTCACCGTCACCTTGTCCTGAAAAAAAAAAAAAGTAACGAGCGATGATTCCAATTAGAACCAAGGACGCCTACGCAACGCAAGCAAGCTTACTTCTTATGTAGTACTTCAAGGGTCAAGTACGAGAGAAGGCCAGGCACGGGGGGCACGCAGACCGTAACCCTAACTAAGCCGGTTCTATACTTGATCCGATATGTTTGCAAAGTTGGAAAAATATGCGTAGACTACCGAGCTTGACTAGGTTTTCAACAAGGTGCTTCTTCGGACGACCTCTGCACCAGCAAAGAAAGAGTCCACACGACAAACAACAAGGGAAAGGAATCTCGAGACCGATTACTCCATGCGTTGCGACGACGAACGAGACACCGCCATGAACTGTTTTCCTTCGAAACAGAAAAAGGGCGTCCCCACCGACGGTGATGCGATTCTCACTCCATATTCCTCTCTGCTGTCCGACTTCAGACGATTCCCATATCAACTCCAGCACGTGCGAAGGCTCAAGCCCCGATACCAACCGCAACTGCCGTAGGTGACATGACGTAAGATATCACACCCCCTGGATCGATGTTCACAGCTCCATTAGCCCACGATGAAGAGCATGTATGAGTCAAGACCAACATGTTGGGAAACCTCTTGACGAAACGGTGCCGGCGCCGCTATGTCGGGCGCCCGCCACTCTTTCTGCCGTGGAGAATTCGAGCTTGGAAAATCATTCCAGGGGGTGTGGTGTCCTGCGTCATGTCACCTACGGTAGATGAGCCTTCTCCAAAGCCCTACGGTAGGTGAGGCTTCTCCAAAAACAACATACAAAGAGCAGCCAGGGCACGATTGCCCACAACCTTGCCACATATATATAGCACGACACCATCCCCCGTGTGTCTGCAGCTCTGACCTCTTCCTTGTCGACCGAGGTGTTGTTTCGGACCATGATGTTGCCCTTCCCCATGTCCCCCGATACGGAGAAGTTAACCCCGTCCTTGTCGCACGCGATGGTGCACGTGTCCCCGATCACTTGCAAGTCCCTCATGATCCGCGCGAACTCTGCCGAGGGCATCTGCGGTGACGGTGTCGTCGAGATAGGAGGCGCGACAACACGGCAACAAAACAGACAGGATGCAAGGTCAGGACAGAGGTGCTTGTGTGGACGATCGAAGCGCGCTGCAACGGGCGCAGCAAGCGGCTCCTTTGCTCAAAAACACTTTTCTTTCTCAAGTTATACCGCACCATCGCCATGGGTAAGACGAAGGTCCACCCTGAACGACTAAACATTCGCGTTACGGTGCACCATGCGTTTCGGTACACGGGTGAGGTAGGTAGATGCGATGTGTTGTGTGGCTGCGTGGCAGAAGCAGCCAATCCGGCTAACAAACAACAAATGCATCAAGCCAAAATATATCGTTCGCAGGGTGTCTTATCCTGAGGAATGAAACTATGTTGCACAGCCAGACCTTGACAGGAGACTAAAATCACTCCGAGCTGCGATTCTAACCGTTGACGGGTACCGAGGGCGCTGGAAGCGAGACGCACTCATGGCGCTGGAAGCGAGACGTCCCATGAGTGAGAGCGGGAAACCGGACGTCTCGCTTTCCAGCGTCCTCGGTACCGTCGACGGTTGCCCCAAATCGCAGGGGCTGGAACAGCACAAACTCGGAGCTACACTTCAAACCGTATTTTACATACGATTGACGCAACAATAAATTACAGTAGTCCAGACACCGCTTACGTCTTGACAACAGCGTGTTTTATCACATTTTTCAAGTCTTCGGCAGCAACGCCGCCAACACGACTGCCCACCTGGATGATGCAGTTGTACTCTGTCTTTGGGATCCCGAGGTGCTCGCTGTCGATGTCCATCAACTTGAGCTCGAAGTCCGAGATGCGGTCTTGTTCTGTAAGACAGAGAGGGAGATCGATAGGAGAGAGGGACCCACGTTGAGTGACAACGAGATGTGTGAGTGTTTTCAAACACCAATAGCACAAGGGGGAAAATACGAGATGGCTGCTGTGTCCTTCCATTCGCTCCAAGCCACGTGTACTGTTGTACTTGGTTGGCGTCTCTGGTCAAGGGGAAGAAACGCGTGTAAAAACGTTCGACAGCAGACCACAGAGCCGCAGATGTGTAGACTTTGTTTCAAGTATATTGCAAGACATAAACATAAAGGATTCGTGTACAATACGCGCACGCAGAACCCGCACAAAGAAAATCTGACCAATGCCCGTCTCTCGCTATCAGGAAGGCCACACGGCTTGCAATAAACACACACAGCTAGCCATGCAAGCAAGGGACTGCTGTACGCATGGAGACGGTCAGAACGTCCGGCACATGACCAGAGCCCACAAAAAAAGGGCGGTTTGAATTTTGAATTTTTGAAAAAACAGCAACTTCTCTTCTCGCCAGTAGGTGGTGCACAGCCGGGAGAGCCAAGAGGTTCTGTCAAGGTGGTCACCACAGCCTGTAGCGGTAAATACGGTACATCCCAAAGGCGTGTGGTCAACGGGTGGCCTCGCATCCACACTCCAGAGCCTCAGTGGAGCTACACGAGGGCAGCAGGCGGTCTGTTTCGGTATCTGTGGGGTTGGATGGTTAGATGGATTCAAAAACTGAGTGGGACAAACGGCAGGTAGCTAGCTGTAGGACACACATTCCGCGCCTGTCATGGCATCGAGAGCGTACGGCGCGGTGCTCCCTGAGGAGCGGCCAGTCGCAACTACCGGGTCACCGATAGAAAATCAGATCCATCGAATGGCAGCAGCATCCATCGACCTTGTGGCTCACTGGTGTTCAAAACGAAATGATGCTGGCTGCTGCGCTGATTTCAAAAGTCGGGTTGAGTTTGAATCAAGGTCATGCCAACAGCTTGGTATGCCCTCGCACCCGACCTGCTCCCAGGCGACGGAAGCACACCAGGATCGCACTATGGCCAACTTTCATCTTCCTACCCTGTGCTACCGCTGCTGCATGTGACCCCACAACCCCTGTAATGCACATCCGAGAGACATCCGAGAGACATCCCGGTGTGTGGCGCGCGCGCAAAGCAAAACCGATTTGTCCACGCTTCGACAAAATTTTAAAAAAAGTCGCAGAAAAGAGCGCGTTGTTAAATTCAAAACAAAATAACTCCTTGGGGGCAAACGGCCTGCGGCCGTACACGCTTGCTCCATCGCAAGCCCCAGCAGACAAAAACGCTCTCTCTCTCTCTCTCTCTCGCTTTGCTTGGTGAGGGTGAGGGTAAGGGCATGAGAGACGACTACATAACTCACTTGGGCTCTCGAACATGATGGTCAGGGCGTCTGCTGTGTCCTCCGCCTTCAGAGTCACCGTGTCGTCGTTCCCCGCACACTTGAGGATCTTGGAGATGCTGCCCGTCGAGAGGCCGAGCGACAGGCTCCGGTCGCACCGGTAGTGCTGGAAGCCGTCGCTGCGGATCATCAGCGCGCAGAGAGAGACGTGGCTCGAGTCCATCGCCTGCATCGAGATGCCCGACTCGGAACAGTCGAGGTTCGCATCGGTCACCAGCTCTCGCACGGCCTCGATGATCTTCTTAAGAAGAGACGCCTGGAGCAGCCTCGCTTCGTACATTTTGAGGAGAGAGAGAGTGAGGAGAGAAGGTAGTGGTAGCGGGTGTGTGTGGTTGAGGGAAGCAGGTGAAGTTGTAGGGTGAGCGCTTGCTGCGGTAGAGGACGGCGAGACAGGTGGTGCTGGTGTGTGCGAGGCAACTTTTCAAAAATGGGGGCACCGCGGAATCAGACAAGACAACCTTGTACCGACAGTCGTAGTGCCGGGTTTTTGCGACCACGGGCTCCCCATTTGTGGACTGTATACCTCTAGCATATATAGCTAATGTACATAGTATATGAACATGCACCTAATGTATTAACATAAACCTCGCTCGGCGGGGCGGGAGGACGACCATGCATATGGCATTTGGAGGTAATCACGTGATGATGGTGCGTTACCATCACCTCACACCACCTCTGTCACACTACAACTGCTGTATCGACGTTCAATTGCGTGCAAGGACGTCGGTACCGAGCCGAGTGAGCTACCGTCTGCAGGGTCTGTCATATGAATTATGTCGATTTTAAATCTATCCCTCAGGGTTCTGTCCTTCATTGACACAAATTTGTGTGCGTATCTACAGCAGTAGATTGGTACAGCAGTAGTCGTAGATTAAAAAATTCTTCACAGCGCTCTCGTACAGCAGTAGTCGTAGATTGAAAAATGCTTCACAGCGCTCTCGTCAACACACTAGATGGCGAAGCCAATGCTCCCATGTATGTCTGCTGCATCAGGCCTATACCTCGAGAATCTGGACTGGAAGAATGGACCGTTGATTGTGACGCGTTCACCGAGAGGGAGGCGATGACGCCCCTTGAGAGTTTGGATCCCATGAATGTTCACACGCACCACACACACACGATCACACGATGAGGCTTGAAACGCCTCGTCCGGACGAAAACTAGCACCACTAGAGGAACCTCTACCTCCGAAGATACGTGATTTCGTGATTTCGAAGTCTTGTCGTGCGCGAACACTCTCTGATCATCTCTAGCATACAACCACACGTGGGTACTCGGGAGTTGGAGATCTCACCCCCCCCCCGGGTTAGCCAATCCTTTCATCGCTCTAAAAATTATCGCATGTCCCCATCCCATAGACGCATGCGCCCACGACAAGGGTCTAATGAGGCAAACTCCTCGGATCCTGTATGCGCAGCACGGTCGTTCGTGTCGGACGCAGAGCAGTCAAGCACAAGATTCGAAAGCTCGACCTCAACCCGAAAGGATGCCAAAAGACAGCTATTTAACAGCTGCGACCAAGCGCCTACGCGGCTATGTAGCACTGCTCTGCACAAATGACAGGAAGTAGACGAGGATGCGACTTAGCGCTGTGTGGAGTAAACAGAGGTGCTGTGCCTGCGGCACTGACCCGGTGATGCAGGAAGACCTGATTAGCTGTGGTGTGCCTAGTTTTCGTGTATTATTGAACTGGCGACTGCTTGGAAACGCTCTGCATGCCCAGCCTTGCAGACATGGACAAGAGGGGCTTACTTACAAATCGGCGCAAACACGCATACTTCCGGCAAGCCTGGTCCGTGCCATGCATACATGTAGCAGGGAAGATCTTGCAGAACACGGGGTCACAGCTCAGAAAACAGTTTGCCCCCCGAGGGTCTCCGCGACCTAACGCGCATGACCATCGTAACAAATTTCGCACGCAAGGCGAGCTTGGGCCACAAAGAATCGGATCCAATTAGAGCCAAAGCTATAATAGCAATCCACATGTGTTCAACAACGTGACCGGCACGTATCACATTTCGTCTAGGTCTACGATCTCCTCCTCCTCCTCCTCTTCCTCCTGCTCCTTGTCCCCATCCCCGTCTTCTTCTAACCCGAAGGTCTCCCCCGCAATGCCCTCTTGATCCCCCTCGTCCACCGCCTCGAAGAGGAAGTTATCCGCCTGCGGGGGAAAGCACGCCAACCAACAGCAGGGGAAACCCCGAGAGAAATGAGTATCACGGGACCAATGTGCGCTAAGGACAGGCGGTGTCATGTGCCAGCTGCTGATTGAATTGGCGTCGCACTTTGTTATGCACGTACCATGCCACCCTTGTAGACTCTTCTCACAACCGAGCGATTGAAGCTGCTACCAATTGCGCAATCCGACTCGCCCTTCATGCGAAACACAAATCGCAAAGGCAACCTCGTTGGTTGGTTGCGCTGCCCTTTGAAACCAGGAACGCTTTTCTGTGGAAGAAAGATCTTGTCACGAAATCGCCCCACAGCTTCAGACAAGCGATGCAAGGGTACCCCGCCTCCCACCACCCACGACTTCTCTTCACGCACCCCCGGGAAACCTTCGACTGGCAACATCATCATCATCAACGCCACTGCCGCCATCACCACCGCCGCCGCCACCACCACCACCACCAACATCCATCCCGTCTCACCTCTTCGTCCATCTCTTTTCTTCGCGCGACCTCTCGCTCCGCCTGCTTCTTCCGGAAAGCCTCCAACAACTTCTCCTTGTCCATCCCCTCGTACTTCCCCGCCCCCCCCAGCCCCTCGGCTGACGCGCCCCCTCCCTCCCCCCCTTCCGCCTTCGGCGGCGGCGGCGGCGGTTTCGCTTTGGGCTCCTTGCGGGTCATCACCGTGGGGAGGCGTGTGAGCGCCGTCTCTTCCTTGGTTCCCACTATCGCCGCCCCTTCGATGAACACCGACATCGAGGCCGTCTCTAAAGCTCCGCTGTATAGCTGAACTCCCCAGCGAGGCGTGCCCACCTTCGGGGAGGCGGCGGAAGATCGGGGGGGGGGGGGGGGGGGGGGTAAAAAACTAATTTTTTCTCATCTCCCTAATCTCATTGGTGATCGTCGGTACTGCTGTACCCCTTGAATGAATTTGTGCATCATCATGGACATATCTAAACAACCTTGAACCA